AATAAATCAATAGAAGAAGCATCCTTTTCATCAACATCTACTCAAATGCATCAACATTTTATTATTATACTATTATTTTTGTAATGTATCTGATCCAATAAAATTTTTAGAAAAACATTAGAAATTAATGTGTGACGATATTATATATAAATTAAAAAATTTATTCAATTCAAAATTTAAAATTCTGTCAACATTTTATTATTATACTATTATTTTTGTAATGTATCTGATCCAATAAAATTTTTAGAAAAACATTAGAAATTAATGTGTGATGATATTATATATAAATTAAAAAATTTATTCAATTCAAAATTTAAAATTCTTGAAAATGAATTATATAACTTTGTATTATATGAATTAGAAAAATTACTAAATTAAATTCTTCTTCTTTGTCACTTTATACTCTACCACTTCCAACTGGATCATTAACTGAAGATTTAGATAATAAAATCTTAAGCGAAGAACTTAATTATGATAAAAATAAATTAAAAGAAGAAAATATTAACTTGGTTCGTAATTTAAATAATGAACAATATTAGATCTATACTCAAATTTTAAACTCACCGGAAAATAAACGTGATAACTTATTTTTCATATACGGATACGAAGGAACAGGAAAGACATATTTATAGAATGCACTTATTAGGAAAATGAAATCAAACAGTGAAATAGTATTATTTGTAGCATCGTCTCGAATAGCATCATTGTTATTACCAAAACATCGTATTACACATTCAAGATTTCGTAGACCTCTTTTAGTTGACAAATTTTCAACGTGTCAAATTAAAAAAAAATACTCAGTTAGCAAAATTTATAGAAAAAACTACCTTAATAATATGGGATGAAGCACCAATGAATAATAAGCATTGCTCTGAAGCCTTAGATAAAAAAATGCAAAATCTTAGAAATAATTTTATTTGTCCTTTCGGAGGAATGATAGTTGTATTAGGCAGTGATTTTAGATAGATTTTACCTATTATTCCAGGAGGTAGAAAGGAAAACATTATTGATACAAGTATAAAAAATTCTTATCTTTAGACACATTTTCATATACTTACTTTAACGTAAAATATGAGATTAAAAAGCCCCAATACCTCTTTTGATGAACAAGCAGAAATTGCTAAATTTTCTAAATGGATACTAAGTATCGAAAATGGAACAATTGATGGAATAAAAGATCCAGAAAATAAAGATGCAATCTGGATTAATATACGTGAAAAATATTAATACAATACGATATTAATCCCATTAAACGTATTTCAAATACAATATATGATAATTTCAATAACAATTTCAACAATATTAACTATATAAGAAATCGTGCAATTGTTACACCTAGAAATAAAAGCACCGATGAAATAAATGAATACTTATTATCTTTAATACCTACAAAGGAAAAAATTTATTATAGTTATGATACAATTCTTTCTTCTTCTAGAAATCTTGATGAATTAAATCTATTATATCTTCCTGAATTTTTACAGACACTAAATTTAAATGGTTTGTCCCCACATGAATTAAAGCTAATAATTAAAATTCCTATTATGTTATTACGAAATCTTAATCAATCAATGGGTTTATACAATGGTACTAGATTAATAATTACACAATTAACATATAGAATTATCGAAGGTGAAATTATTAATTCTGTTGATACAAATAACAAAGTCTATATACCTAGAATAAAAATGAATATAATTGAATCCAAATGGCCATTTATATTAAAAAGATTACAATTTCTTGTAAAAATATGTTATACAATGATAATAAATAAAAGTTAAAGTCAATCATTAAAAAAAGTTTGTATATACTTAGAAAATGAAATTTTTTCTCACGGTCAATTATATATAGCTTTATCTAGAGTAACATCACCAAAAGGTCTAAATATTTTAATATATAAATCAATCAACAAATATTCAAATCATATAAAAAATTGTATACAAAGAGATATTACAAAACATGAATACATTTCCTCGTTATTACATTTTAAATAAACATTCTTATACTACAATATTTTTTTCGACTTATATAGTATTAACTTTTATATTTCTAATATCCTTTTTTTAGCTATACAAAATGTTCACTCCAATACGAATACTGAAACCTAGTAAAATATATTTGACCATTCGTGCGCGAACATGTCGACTATGGAGAAATATAGATTACAATAGTGGACAACTGATAAGCTTTGATATATTGTTAGTCGACGAAGAGGTAATGTAATATATTTTCTTTATATATTATATAAATATAGTTATAAAAATAAATATTTATAAATATTTATATTATTTAATATACAACTAATAACAATATAATTTATACTTCTTACAGCAGGAAGTAGTGCATGCCGTTATTCGATCAAGATTTGCAAACTATATAAGTCAAACTATTAAAGAAGGCGACATATATGAAAGTACTAATTTTTTCATCGATACCAACAAGCCAAAGTATAAAATCGTTCCTCACATAGCAATATTACGAATCGCTTGAGCAACAATTTTTAAACGTATTGATGAAGATATGCCAGCAATATCTCGAGAGAAGTTCAATTTCGTAGAATTTGATCAGCTCTCACAAAAAATTGATGTCAATGATGTACTTTCAGGTTACTTTAACTTTATATTTATAATCTTAATTTCAATATTTATTATTTTATAGTAACTAAAACTAAATGATTATAAATTTATTATTCTTATTAGATGTCATTGGTTGATTAATATGTTTCCATGGTGTTGAGGAATCGGCTATTGGCGAAAGAATAGTGAAAAGAAGAAGTTTCACTATTCAAAATATAAGGTAAGTGTAATATTAACCAATTTTAAATTAATAAATTTAAATGTTTCAAAATCTTTCTATAATCAATATTTTATTATACATTGTTCGACATAGAGAAAAAAGTCTCAATATAACACTCTGGGGATAGGCTGCAGAGCTCTTCGATGAAAACGCGGTGCAAACAATGACGGAACTAGTTATTATAGCATTTACATCTATGGCCGCAAAACAAGGTTAATATTCACATTACAATTAATTATTACAGTTTCCTATATAAGTAACTATACATTTTCATTTATTATAGGAGGACTTTATCTAGCAAATACATATGGTACTTTTTATTATTTAGATATAGAAATTACTGAAACAAGAATAATAAAAAAGAGGTATAATAAAAAATAATAAATTTTTTATTATTCTTATTTATGTTTTTTTTTAATTTTTCCTTCTTTAACATATTTATATAAATGTATAAATTATTTTTCTACAGATTCCGTCATTCGATTCAAACTCTAGAATATATCGCCGCATTAACAAAACCTACAATATCGTTAGAAGAACAAAAAAATTTAAATCGTATAACAATTGTAGAAATACGAGCACTAGACCCATTTCAAAATCAGGTAAAACTCTTTCCAATATAACTTATTTAATTACTTATTGATATAAAATTAATTATAAAATTCCTTTTTCTATTCTACCGAAAACAAAATACACAATAAGAGCAACTATTACCGAACTCGATGCATACCAAGAATGGTTCTACTATGCATGTACGCAGTGTTACAAACAAGTAAAAGAATCAGGAACATCTTAGTGGTGTGACACAAATGGATATTTATCCACAATGCCGCTTACTTGGTAATAACATTTTTTATTTTTTTTAAATTTATAGTACAACAAATTTTAATCCTTATAAACAGGTACAAAGTCAACGTGCGCATTGAAGATAACACGAGAAGAATGAATTCAATCATGTTCGGCAAAACAGTTCAATCACTCATAAATAAAACTTGCTCTACACTCACTTACGAGGAAGGATACACTGATCGTTATACGATTCCTCCCATCCTAGATCAAATTAGAGGAATGTCAAAAATATTTATTATACAGTTTTGTAGTTAAGGTGCTTTCATCGACATGGTCATTTTAGGAACTTTCAACGATGATGAACCTCTGTTGTGCTTGCCTCCAACAACATCAACATCTTCAAGAGCAACCCCGTCAGTTTCAGAACCACTTACAATAATGAATATGAAACCAGAGTAAACTACTATTCCATATTTTATCTTTTTTATTTTTTTAATGTTAATAAAACATTATTTATAATGTAATAATATTTATTATTATTACAGTCATCACCATCAACCTCTTTCAACACAACTTGAGTCCACTTCTTCCATCAGTTCTTCAAAAAAAATGAAAACCAATTAGGTAATACTATACATTACATATTAAAATTATTATTTCATTAAATATAAACAAATTTATTATTATTCATTATAATTAATTAATAACTAATTTCTCTTATTTTACAAATTTCTTTATTGCAGTTCAGAGAAAATAAGGAAAAAAAGTAGAGACAAATAAATATGTATATATTGCTTGCAAACTGAACTCTTATCACGTACCATATTTTGTTCCATTTTCATAAAATATTTAACAACATAATCATCATTTTGTAACTACTTATTACATTTTTTACTCTAAATTTATTATTAAATAGATAAATATACATCCGTGCAATAGCACGGATAATACACTAGTTTAAACTAATATAGGTTGAGGAAACTTACTCATTTACTACCAATTTATTCAGATTGGCAGGCAATCAAAGAAAGAACCATAAGATCCATGAAGGGGACTATGAGATCAAACGAAAAATTAGTTAGGTTAGATGGGAAAAATAGTAATTTAATAGTCGAATCCACAAATAAATATGAATTTTTTTTTTTTTGAGAAAAATGATTTTTCAAATGAAAAAAAAAAAAAAAAAGAAATGATATCAGTTGAATTAATTGAAATTTTTTATTGTTAAAAGATAAATGTTTTTTCATGTTTCCACATCAAATTATTCCACTTAAAATTAAAAAAATTATTACAAGCTTAGGTCTGGTCATACATTTTAAACGACGTCGTTTGTATTTCTAGCCTTTATTTTTTTTTCTTTTTTAAAATATTTAAATGTTAGAAAGTATATATTGACACGGGGCAGTGTTGATGGAGGAAAGCTAGCCGGTCCCGAGAAGAACATCGGAGGCATATTTTTGTTTACTTGCTTCTCACGATATCTGGATTCAGGAGAAAGAAGTTCCAACTATGAGCGACGGAGAAGATGCCGTACGACGTCGTAATGCGGTCACGGAATACCGCAAGAAACTCCTCCAGCACAAAGAGCTCGAGTCCCGAGTTCGATCCGGTCTGTGTCGCCATACCTCAACCCTAAAACTTCTGTCTTTGGCTCTTTGCAACAAGATTTGATTTTCATTACTCTCCATCTGCGATTGCTAGGGTTTTGGAATTTAATCAAATTGGCGCTGAAGCCTCCGTTGTTTATTTTCAGTTATTTTTCTTGAATGTTATGACTTAGGGTTTTCGCTATTTTGTTTAGTTCGTCTGATTTTGCAAAATTAGGTTTTTGGAAGGTGTATCAGAAAACTATGAGTTTTGGATGCATAAAAATTTGTGTTCTTTGGAGTTTAAGGTTGTTTTTTGTGACTGAATTTTTTAACAGGAAGCTATTTATTTTTCGGAATGTTTTGAGTTTGAAAATGTTAAGAATTTGTGGTTGTCCGCGAATGTTTAATTCATAAATCTTGCTAATATGTTATTTGTGTTTCATTGGTGAGTAATGTAAGTGCTGAAATTGCTTATTTTCAGTGAGAGAGAATTTAAGGGCTTCGAAGAAAGAGTTCAACAAAACAGAAGATGATTTGAAGTCCCTTCAAAGTGTTGGGCAGATAATTGGAGAAGTTCTCAGGCCTCTTGACAACGAACGCTGTAATTTTGCTTTTAGAGTTTTCCTATACCTGTGCTGAAATTGTCATTGCTGATTTATGCTTATCCGAGTTGTCCAAACTGTAATTGCTTGTGTAATTTCATTTTCAGTGATTGTGAAAGCAAGCAGTGGGCCAAGGTACGTAGTTGGCTGCCGTAGCAAAGTGGACAAGGAAAAACTGACTGCTGGAACAAGAGTGGTTCTTGACATGACAACACTCACAATCATGCGAGCCCTTCCTCGTGAAGTAAGTTCCGATTTATTATCCACATGCTACAAGCTAGAAGAAAAAACAACATTTTAGGTGAAGACGATTCACACTGTAAAGATTGTGTTCATCTAGGACTATCAATTTGAGTTGCAATTTTGATGTAAACTGATGCCTAGTAATTGTTTTTGAATCTAATTTGAGTTGACAGGTTGATCCAGTTGTTTATAATATGCTTCACGAAGATCCTGGTAATGTTAGTTATTCAGCTGTGGGTGGTCTGTCTGATCAGATAAGAGAATTGAGGGAGTCTATTGAGTTACCTCTCATGAATCCTGAACTCTTCCTCAGAGTTGGAATCAAACCGCCTAAGGTTCTTTTCTTCTATCTTAGAATATTGGACCTTTTTTCTTAACTATTGGAGGAGTAGAGGTGTGGTTTATGTGGTTTACATGCGTGTTCTTATAATTTGTATTATCCCTGTTCGACGGTAAAAGTTTTGACAGATAGACCCTCTTCCTTTTTTTTTTTTTTTTTTTTTTTTTTTTTTTTTTTTTCAAATTTGCAAGTTTTGCTCTAAAATGTAGACGTTCATTTTTCATCACATGTAGGTTGTTTCAAGTGCTATAATTGATAAGTATATTGGAGAAAGTGCAAGGTTGATTCGTGAAATGTTTGGATATGCCCGTGATCACCAGGTAAGATGGTTATCTATTTTTATAGCTTTCTTTTCCTATGTTTTGCAACCTATTTCAGAATTTAACTTCCAATATTTTGCTTCTCTTTCTGTAAAGCCCTGCATTATATTTATGGATGAGATTGATGCCATTGGTGGGCGTCGATTTAGTGAGGGAACAAGTGCTGATCGTGAGATTCAAAGAACATTGATGGAGTTACTTAATCAGCTTGACGGATTTGATCAGCTGGGAAAGGTATTTCTTTGTTCAAAACTGTAACTAAAGGGACACCACAATGTGCTTCCACACAGTCGCGTGGACACACACACAAACACTTGGATAGTCTCTTGTATGGTACCTTGTTGCATAGATTTTCTATGGATGAGGATCTTGTTGGTTATTTCACTGTCAACGTTGTTGTATATCCTTTAAGAGAAGCTAGAATTAGTGATATTGGTGATGCCTGCTTTCGTCCAAAGATATAAATAACTTGTTAGACTAGATCTACTTCTAAATGGATACGCTTTCTCTCTGTTTTGGTACAGGTTAAAATGATAATGGCTACAAATAGGCCAGATGTTCTTGATCCTGCTCTTCTCCGTCCAGGCCGCCTGGATAGGAAAATAGAGATTCCGTTGCCAAATGAGCAATCAAGAATGGAAATTCTCAAGATTCATGCCGTTGGAATTGCCAAACACGGCGAGATCGATTATGAAGCTGTGGTAAAGCTTGCCGAGGTATGTATCCATTTTATGTCGCCGCCTATTTATTTTCACACGATCACATGTTTTACATATTTGCTATATGGTTGCCATAGGGCTTTAATGGGGCTGATCTCCGAAATGTTTGCACTGAGGCTGGAATGTCAGCAATCCGTGCAGAGCGTGACTATGTCATCCATGAGGATTTCATGAAGGTACGGCGTTTCCCTTGTGTAGCAATAGAAGATTTTTTTGAATCATTGAGAAATTATGACTCCTGGATAAAAAGGCGTTATTCCTTTATGCGCGACTAATCAACTAGTATGTAATCTTTTACAAGATCTAAAAATAGCTTCGTTTTCATGTATTGTAATTAACAGGCTGTTCGGAAACTAAATGAAGCAAAGAAACTTGAATCGAGTGCGCACTACAATGCAGATTTCGGAAAAGACTAATGTTGTTCCCTGTTTAGTGCTATTGATGTTTGGGAAGCACATTTCCGTTATATACTCAACGGAATGTTACTTTAGGTACTTGGATGGAATGGATTACTTGAGCTGTCAGTTATTTTACGGATTTGTATTCCATCGCTTACAACTATTTGTATTCTTAGCAGTATTTGCAAACATATAACGTGCGTTTAGAACTGTTTTTTTTTTGGCAGTTTTTGAAAATGTTTATGCACATCTTTTGAGGCACAAAAACGAAAACGGTCTGCAAATCGCGTTTATTTAGTAAATGTTTTAAAAATGAAAACGAAAATAAAAAATAATGAGAATAGTTTTTGTGAACGAAGTAAAAATCAATTTAAAGTTGTTTTCCATTTTATTTTCTACTAGTTATTAACAATGTTATCTTAAATAATTATTATTAATTACTAATTATGTAAGATATTAATTAATAATTAATAAATAGATATGATTAATAACTAATAAATAGAAAGTAATTACTTAATTATTAATTTATTATTATTAAATATGTGATTTATTAATAAAATAATAAATAATAAATAGTAATTAATTATTTAGTTAAAGATTAATTGCCAAAAAATTGATTATATAATATATTAATAATAGGTTATTTAGTAAATAACTAATTATTAATATATCAATTATAATCTATTAATTAAAAAATAGTTGATAAAAAACAATAATTACTCAATGAATAATTAATATTAAATTATAATTATTAATTATGTAATATAATAATCAATACTAATTAATAATTGATAATAAGCAATTAATAATTACTTAAATGATAATTACTAAAAATTGATCATTTAATATATCAAATAATAGAGTATTAAATAAATATTAGTAACTAATTAACTAATTATTTGATAATGTGACTAAAAGTTAATTATTTAATTAGTAAATAAAATATTTATATATTAATTATTTTTTACACTAATTAATTATTTATAAACTATTAAATAATTACTTATAATCAATTATTAATTACTATCTTTTAATTATTTAACATACTAATTTATTATATATAGTTAATTACTAATATACTCATTAATAATATATATATATATTATATTATTAATGTAA